GCTACGGCTGACTTGTCCGGATGTTCTAATCGTAGATGCCGTTGATGTTCTTTCAACCTCGTGTCCACAGAACGGCCCGTCTGCCCGATGTAGACCTTGCCGCACTCACATGGAATTCTGTAAATTCCCGGTGTCCTCAGTCCCAGGTGATCCTTGACAGGCCGGAGGAAATTAGATATTTTCTTTGGGGGCAGGCCAACTGATTTGATGTGTCGGGACAGCACTCTGCTGATCCTGTTGTATATAGTGCCGACAAAGGGCAAGAAGGTGACAGTTTCTCTGCGGTCATCATGTTGATTGCTGTTGGGATGCCGGTTGAGGGCCCTGTCGATCTTCCGGTCGTTATAGCCATTGCGTCTGAAGATGTCCTTCAGGAACTCCAACTCCGCACGCAGACTCTCTTGATCACACAGAGCTCTGGCCCTGTGTACCAGTGTGGACAGAGCTGCCTGTTTACTGGAAGGGTGATGATGGGACTTGGCATTGAGGTAGAGGTTTGTGTGTGTGGGTTTGCGGTATACTGTATGGCCTAGAGAGCCGTCGGGTCTCCTGTAAATATCTATGTCTAGGAAGGGGAGGTGTCCTTCACTTTCGGTTTCCATGGTGAACTGAATGCATGGGATGATACTGTTTAAGTGGTCCAGGGAGCCCTTCAGGTTGTCAGGTCCGTGGGGCCACATGACGAAGGTGTCGTCCACATATCGAAATCAGATTAGGGGCTTGAGTGGGGCCAAATCCAGCGCCCTCTCCTCGAAGTCCTTCATGTAGAAGTTGTACGATGACTGGAGATAGTGGAGAGCCCATGGCTACACCGTCAGTCTGTTCGTAGAACTGGCCATCGAAGCTGAAGTAGGATGTGGTTAGGAAATGGCGAAATAGTCTCAAAACATCTTGGGGAATGTCTTAATCGCTCCCATCTGCTCCCATTGATCCGTTTTCCCTAACCACCCCACTGCCTACTTCGTATATAAGCAGCGCCTTTCACATCCTATCACTACAGCTACTGCTCTCCGCATTCCAAGCCATTCAACTGCTCTGAAGATGGAGGCGCTACGTTCCTCCGAAACGTCGGCCAAAACGAAGAATACACGGTGCCTAAACCCAGAAGACATTCTTCATCTTCGGGGAAGTTTCCTCCTAGTAAATCCATAGTGTCCTTGATTGGCACTTTGGAGAAGAGCGATACCACATCGAAGCTAACCATCCTCCGGCCTGTCAA